AATATTATTCTTTCATCAATTGTAACAATTAAATAAAACTTGGGCCAATCAGTATCCCTGTAGCTTTCAGCATGCATGTGCATCATCGCTTTTAGAGAAAGAGAGAGAGAGAGACCCCTAAGTTACGCAGATTAATAAATAAAATAAAATAAAATAATCATGTTTATTTTCTTCATGGAATAAATATATAGGTACAAGAAAAAATGGGCAGTGATTCAGGTACAGGGGCCTGACTTACAGGCGCCTGCCCGACCACATACATTTGGGGGTGGGGCTACAATTTTTTTTTTTTTATTCACGGGTGGGGCCTCAACACAGTGAGGGGCCTGTAGCAGGTCAGCTCCTGTACTTGGAGCATTATACGGAAAAAATTTACAGATTTTGCACAAGCTGTCTTCCTATGCAAAATCTGTAGGATTTTTCCTGCACTTATAGTATTGTTCTTATTCATGTCTCTAAACTACTACTATATAAAAAGATCGATTGATTTAAAACATTGAAATCTCCTAAGATTTTAACTTTTTAGAATTGATAAATTATATGGCGAAAGTAAAGATGAAGTTAAAGAATTAATTTAAGCCCTCGTTTAGTGTCACTTAAAATTATATTTTTAATAATTTTGATTTAAAAAAATTGATGAAATATGTAATTGAATGTTAAAAAGTTGTGAATTCGAAAAAATATGTGATTAAAATTAATTATTAATTTTGATTTAAATTTTTGTTTTCAAAATTTTTAACTTTATCAAACAAGGGCTAAAATAACTTATTTTTCAAATTAATCACGTTTTTTTTTTTTTTAATGTGTGTGATTATTCAGTCAATGTTCAATACTTGAAGGTTGGCTAATAATTTTCACTTTCGTAATGCTATAACGCAGGCTTAGAATTTACATAAAATATATGAGATGGGGCCAAATTTGTTGGCTGCTTATATATAAATACACCTATTTATAATCACATTTTTATTTTTAACATTTTATTAATCAGAAAATATTGTCATTAATTATAATTTTCGTTCAAAAATATTGTTAACGTGTTTTCAAATGAAGGTCAAATATTTAATCACATTTTTACATTATTATTATTTTTGCTCGTTTAAAAATACAATGAGTAAATCTTTTTACTCTATTTTCAAAAAAAATGCAGAGAAACCATAATAAAATATAATTTATATTAATTTGAGAGTAAGAATAAGATGAAAAAACGTTGAAACATAAATTTGATAATATATAAAGGTTATGAGCCTCCTAAACAATTAAAATATAGTCTAGTTATTAGAAATTATGATATGATCCATTATTTGCGATTTTAATTTTTGAAATAATATTTTTTGAATAATGTGTCGTAGCAATGTCACGAGCCGAGCCGAAAAAAAAAGTTCCAACCGAGCCCGAGCTTTTTTTGGCCCGATTCGAGTCGAGCCTGACCAAAAAAATTGAGGCTCGACCCGAGCTTTTGACCCGAGCATTAACAGCCAAGCCAGTTCGGATTTTTTGATTTTTTATTTTTTATTTTTTCTTAGCAGGCAGCTAAAAACAGCTACCTGCCTGTTGAAGGCAGCTTGCTAGCTGCCTGCAACAGGCAAGTTGCAACCTTCATGTAGCTGCTTACTTGCTGCCTTCAAAAAAAAAAAATTTTTTTTTTTTAATAGGAGGCTCGCCTGGGCCACGGGCAGGCTCGGGCTCGAGCCGACTCTCCAAAGTGGGGCTCGGTCCGAGCGGGGCCCAGCTAGAGCTTTTTCCGAGCAATCCGAGCCTCCAAACTTTTTTGTCACCGCTAATGTGTCGTTAAAAAAGAAGAAATTTTTTTGAATTTACGTGTAATATTATTTTATTGAAAATTGTGTGGTTGACAATAGAAGAGAAAAATGAGTTATAATTTTAATAGGGATCAAACATGACTATTTTTAGTCAATTCACTTTCTAGATCATTTCTTGTCCACCTTTAAAATTTTAATAGGGGTCAAAAATGTTCATTAAAAAAAATCACGTTTTGATGATTTATTAAAATTTGTTAATGTGTAGTTGATAAGAAGAGAAAGAGAGAAATGAATTTTTTATAACACTTCTATATGTACAGAAGAAAAAAAAAATAGAAACTATACAAAATACACACATAGATGTGGGCCCCATTTTTTAGTAATATTTAATTCACATGGAACAACCCCATGTGAGTATCTGTATGGTTTCTGGCAATAGGGGTACTATATTTAGTCGAACTTTGCTACATTTACAGTTTT